CCACCGGTAAAGCGGTGGTCAGAGCTCGAAGGTTTAACATTGTTTTTGTACGAAAGGTATCGCTGAGAATAAATTGATCGTTGGTGACCGCAGATATTGTTATGGTCCGGTTCCTTGTACCACGATGATAGTCCAAGGTAGAACCAATAAAGAAGAACACGAACACAGGTATGGAATAACACAGATATATTACAAACAGGAATATATACAGAGAAATAGAAGTGTTAGTATGGACAATCAGGTTTAGTAGAGAGAACAATGTAATCTCAACCAGTATCACTATTCCAATGTCTTGCAGTAATCGTCTGAACGCGACTCTGTTTCGGACTGCCTCTGACTCGACTCTTGTCTCGACCTTGAACTACTGACTCGACGTGAACTGCTGACTCTACTGACTCACTCCTTGCCTACTCCTGAGGCGCAGTATTTATTAAGAATGAAATAGTCCATTATTATTATTATGGGTAAGATCCCATAACAGATATAAATGATTCAGAAAATACCAAGCACGAGATAACTCGCAAGTCGTCGATATCATAATAAAAAAAGAAACGCCAACCATGATTTATTTTGTAGTTGTCAATAGGCAAAAAAGTGTTCTCTTTCTTCGCTACATATAAAACCGAAAACACCTTGTCTCGCTAGATCAATTACAACTAAATAGTGAGTTCGATCCTAACTGGGTTCTCCATATTTACGGCCTTGTGCCACATCCAAGCAACCTTTAGAAAACACCATAAAACCGAAAGTACTGCACATTATTTACATTATTCGGACTATTGTCCTCATCTTTGTCGCCATATTTATCACAACGCTTTGGCCGTTGAACGCTCCGGCCTTCTTCAGGTGGTTGGAATGTCGAACTGGACTCTTTATTTCGCTCACCGGGGTAGACTGTTCTAGTTCCACATGCCATGTTTGATGGATGTCAGTTATCAGTTATCTCCTGTCAATTTCCCTCTGAATGTACTCCACTGCCTTAACCGGGTATTGAACTCACACTCTTTGGGTGCTGTCACTGGATTTAACCAACGCCTTTATCCACTGTGCCATGTGTCCTTGAGGACCACCTGAAGAAGGCCGGAGCGTACAACGGCCGAAACGTTGTGATAAATATGGCGACAAAGATGAGGACAATAGTCCGAATAATGTAAATAATGCACATAATACCTCATCTCAGAAATATAGACAGACTCCGAAAGTACTGCATTTAAAATTTTTAAATTTAGCACAACCGTTTATTTGAGCCGAATATTTCCCTCTGTTTTTGTCGCCATTAAATGTAACTTAATTTAATCTGATGACGTTACTAGAAACTGTGATTACACACGTCCAGTGAAGTCTTCTGCTAAAAACTAAGAAAACCAAGTTAATGGTGATTGATAGTGGCCGCACAGACTGCCTGCTAGATAGTGAGGAGAAAGTGGAGGATTTTGTGTACCTAGGCTCCATCACTAACACGCAAGGCAGATGTACGATGGAGATCAAATGAAGGCCGCCAATAGCAAGAAGTGCTACGACCAATATAGGAAACATCCGCAATAATCAGATCATGCACATCAGATTAAGTTAAAATTGCTACGAGCCGCTGCTTTCGTCATCGCCAGCTACGAACGCGTCTCATAGGCTTGATTCTTTCGAGATGTGGGCATTGTCTTCTGAGACTCATGGATAGCAAGTCTCACTAATAAGTGTGTGCCAGATATCACCAGAACAAGTTACGCATTGAGAGAACAGATGTCACTAAAGAAGCTCCGTTATATTTTGAGATATTATACAGCGACGGGCTTCGATAAAGCTATTCTGCTGGGCCGTGTGAAGGGCAAGCGACGCCAGGGACGACAACCCATGTATTGTTTTGAGGATATTAAGAGGTGGACTGGAAAGTGCGTTGGTTGAGGCTGTAAGGATAGCATCAGAAAAACTGAGATGGAGGGGATAGTTGACCACAGCGGTAATGGAATAAATGATGAATGAATTTCGAAACCTCCATTTAGAACCCTGTCAAGTTAATGTTTCCTGATTATGTGTGTATAGAAAAAATGGCGATGTTGCAGATATTTATCATATACTCTATACCATGAGTTTCATTCTGAAGAGAAAATGTTAGAATTCGCCAAAAACAATTTGGGAGACATTGGCTGTACTCACCTAAAATAGATATATCCTAATAAAACTTAATCTAATATAGAATTGTATCATGTCCATTAATATTTTATGATCGTACGTGTATAGAGAACTTATCGCAGTTCGAAATATATCATATTCTCCAGTTTCTTGAAGGTAATTTGAAGGTGTTGCCGACCGGAGATTTTAGAAGAAATTTCCGATACTCATTGGCAATATCGTCTCCAATGTTCATGTCTAATGGATTTACATTTGACACGATCCCAAGAGAAAGCGTAACAATTGACCGAATGTAATTTGGAAGACATGAGCTTTAATCTAGTCAAGTCAATGTAAGAGACATTCAAGTTCGAGACTAGCTTAGAAGCAAAGGATCTGATTGCAAAACAGAGGCATTCCTCATCGTTTGGCAAGAAGAATAGAAAGGTCGGCGAAAATGGAATGGAGAAACAGATAAGCTTCTGTCGAAAAAGGCGTATCACGTTCTCTCGCTAAATGGCAGTAAATAGATTTAAGATACTCCACAGGGGACTTCATAGCGGAAACCTTTCAAAGATAAATATTAAGACCCTAATTCTATTTACTTAAAATATCTTCCTTTGTACATCAAAACTAAATATGCATATTCTCATCCAAGAAATTGAGTGTGGTTAGATCTCATCATATATCTTTTGGCTAATTTTATACAGAAAATAAACATTAGTGTAAATATCCCCCTTTCTCTCTCTCTCTCTCTCTCTCTCTTATATATATATATATATATATATATATATATATTTAAAGATATTTTTGTAGGTACAAAATTTAATGATCGAAATAAAAGTATAAAATTTAATATTACAAGACATATTAAAAAGTATTAAATAATAAAAAAAACTCAACAACAAGGGGGAAGCAACTGGTTTCGCTCCTGCTCGTCAGGCTTCCATGGGAGATTTAAAATTAAAACAGAGAAATGTACAGTAAGAATAGGTGGAAAAAAAAAATTAAATATATATATATATATGAGAGAGAGAGAGAGAGAGAGGGAATATTTACAGTATATATATATATATATATATATATATAGATAGATAGATAGATATATATGTAATAATTCAATTTTATCAGTATCTCACCCATTTAAACCGTCTTCTAACTTCTCTTTTGAATTTCTCTCTATTAAATTTTAATCCTCACCTTCACTTTTAGGCCTTCCTCTCCTCCCGTCTGTTAACCATCTCTAGAATTTTCTTTTACCCTTCACATTCGTCACCCACTCTCATACATACACTCTCGCTAAATTTATTTTTATTTATTCCCGTAGTTATTTTTTCTGATTTCTTTTTGAATTTGTAGGTCTGATGAATTTGAATCGTGATTACGTTTCCTATGTAATAAATTCTAATCATGGAATATTAGTGTTTAAGCCTTTTTATTATATTCTTACTCTGTCAAGGACATTGAGTTCTACCTGCATTCTATCCTCTTGTAATTTATATATATATATATATATATATATATATATATATATATATATATATATATATATATGTATGTATATGTATATATATTTTTAAAATATATATATATGCAAAATATATATATATATGTGTATGTATATTAACCACTAATATTATAGATATAGATAGATATATATATATATATGCATGTATGTATATATATATTATATATATTTTTATATATATATATATATGCATAAATATATATATGTATATGACCCACTAATATTATATATATACACACACATATATATATATATATATATATATATATATATATATATACATATATATATATATATATATATATATATATATATATATATATATATATATATATAAATCCAAACACTAATATTCCATGGTTATAATTTATTACACTGGAATCGTAATCATGATCCAATTCATCAGACATTTTTAAATGTGTATGTCTGATGAATTGGATCGTGATTACGATTCCAATGTAACAAATTATAACCATGGAATATTAGTGTTTGAGCCTTTTATATTATATTCTTGCTCTATACTATATATTGAGCTCTACCTGGATTTTATCCTCTTGGAAATATATATATATATTGACCACTAATATTACATATATATATATATATATATATATATATATATATATATATATAACGTCTTTGGCCTGTACAACTTTCTAAACAAATATTCTTAGTCGCAAAAGGAAATACGTATGATACATACACATTTATACCTATGTGTAAAATATATATGTGTAAAATGACAATATCAATAAAGACAAAAGGAAAATTTATCTTAGCCGACGCGTTCCGTCAGATGAACTTTTGTCTTTATTCATTTATAGCTATATGAGCATATATATATATATATATATATATATATATATATATATATATATATATATATATATATATATATATATATATACACACACATATATATATATATATGTATATGTATATATATACGCATAGATAGATAGATAGATATAAGAATGACAATTGGAAAAGATCTTATTCTTTGCCGACGCGTTTCGTCTTTCGACATTATCAAGGCAAACAATGAAAGCGAAATGTTTCTGTTGTCATAGTGACATAAAATATAAAAAATAAAAAGGAAAGACGCTCCTAAGTAAGCCTCTTTCTGGCTAATGGAAACTTCCTTTATACTAAGAGTTTGTTTTTTGCTTTCCATGACGGAAATATAATATAATTTCCCAAAATAATTATGGGGATAAAACAAATTGATATAAGAATTTTTCCAATTGTCATTCTTATACAAATTTGTCTTCCCCACAGAATTATTGGGGAAATTTTACTATAGATAGATAGATAGATAGATAGATAGATATGAAAAGACGGACATAGAGTCAAGAAGAAGAAGAAA